TGCTTCTGCGTGTTCTGCTTCTTGATCTTGTTACACAAATGGTAGTGATGCGAAGAGGCGCTACTTTCAAGTATTGATCGATACTCAGTACTGATTTAAAAAGTACCCAACGCTTTCGATACTCGGTACCGAAATGTTCAGATTTCAAATTAGAGCACACAACAGCTAAAAATATGAAATAAAATCAGCTCAGGTTGGAGATCAAGTGGAGATCCAAAACAAATTCCAAGATCCAATGTTTATTTTCAAGTGTTCAAGTCAATTGGAGAACCTCTCTAACAAAAGGGAAAATTATTTGTATGCAAATCTGCGTTCCCTACTTGAGAAAAGCTTGGACATCAATTTGAATTTTAAATTTTATTCAACTTTTGGAAAAATGTTGTGTATCCACTTGAGAATCAAGAATTTCTCAAAGATTGGAACAATGTTTGCTTCGTGTATATTGGGTACTAACGCACCGCACCATAAATTAGTATTGGTCTTATAATAGCCGTACATTAACAGCACAAGTTTTGACCTTAGTCCTGAATTCCTACTGCTATCTCTAGGCTTCTCTTGATATTTGTCTTTCAGCTCAGTTTGGTGTCAGAGACAATGCCGAGGAACTTCACCGCGGGGGATAATGTGAGAGTCGTTCCATTGTCTGAACTGAGTTCCGTTTTGCTCGGTTTGACACTAAGGTATTTTATTTTTTGGGACAACGAGTGTAACCTAAACAGAGCTCCCACTAAAACTTCGCTAGTAATTGCAGGATAGAGGCCTGACATCGAATCTCATTTACATATGCCACTATCTCCTATGTTGAGTTTCAGTAGTAGGTACTATGTTGTTCAGCGCGACAGCACATAGCAGCGCAGAAAAGCTCCTCCTAGAGGTGTAACCCTATTTGCAACAGAGGTTAGTGTTGTTATCGAACCATTGGCTGTTGATATGATTATAGTTTTGAGCCCTGAACCAGCATATTTCAACGTCTTTGCTCCACTCTCGAATATTCAGCCTCATTGCGTAAGTCGTAAATTAGGCTGAATTGTACGACTCGACAACATTAGCATTGTCTACTGTCGTGCTGAAATAAGTAAACGACGAAAATTGTCGAAAACTATGCAGTGCTGCCAAGTTCTTCCGTTTTAATACACTAGTCGAGTGGAAATTTTAGGGAATGACGCTAAATTTTCGATACGATTCGACTCTCGAAAAACGACTTGCATTCGGCACGACTCTCGCAATGAGGCTGATTATTTCCAAACTCCCTACAAAATCGTCCACACTATTCTAGCATTCTTTTCAGCCGAATGCTTGTATTGACTTACCTAGGAATTAAATGGATAGCCATGAAATTTCACCGATTTGGGTATCTTGTTTTTCTTATTCGAAGTTTTAGTAGCCTACTACCAGCAGCTACAATTCCCTCCTTTTCAAGTGGAAATCAAAAAAATACGGAAATATGTATTTATGTACATACATTAGACTGGACCAGCTTGCAAGCAAACAAAAAAAAGATGGACGCACTTTAAGATATGACTGTAAATGCCGAAGATATAACGAAAAAATGTAAAAAGGCGGACCCCACAGACAAACAAAAATGTTTCGAAATTGCCTTGCAAAAATACTTTAGGCTAGGACTAGGGGTGTCCGGCTAACTTTTTTCTTTTGCACAATCTAATGGACGTGTATGTATGAATGTATGTAGCTGCTTCTCAATGAAAAATAGCAAACATATCCCAGATGTTTATTATTGTACTTGGCCAGAAAATATATAAAGTTGTGCGAAAAAATTCGTTTNCATGCGCTAAGCGGAAACACTTAAAAAGTGCTTCAAAAGCGACAAGCTGCAAAATTTTCCAAAAATTAATTGCATTCGCGATAGTGGGCGCAGACAAACACATGTACATACATATATATGTACATATGTACATACTTAGGAGCACACAAATTTAGAGCCTTCTTCTAGAGCTGGTATTTTTACCACGTTTTTATTGTTGTTATCGTGTCGGTGCGCTATAAATTAATTAGGACACGCCAAGGACTAACGATTTGCGAGCAACGTTTGAACTTAAGTAGGTCAACGCCATTTACAAGTAAACGTCATTGTGGCGACTAACTAATATGTACTTATTTATGTATGCGATTAGAGTAACACAAACATACATATGTATATTTATATGCATATGTGTATGTAGGTATATGTACATACCATATAACTACATATGTACAATTAGCGACACTTAAAAAAATTTGAAGTTAATTTGACTTATTTTAATACCCGAGCGCAACTGTGCACTAGGGTATTATAACTTTCTTTGCATAACGAATCGAGGTAGATACGGACATATGTATACATATACGCCAAATTGCTCAGAATGAAAAAAGAAGCCGATTAAGCCATGTCCGTCTTTCTATCAACGAAATTTAGTATAAAGGTTGCTTTTCATTCCAGGTAGGTTGGTATTGATTATCAGCTAAATTGGACAATTTCCTCCCAAATAACGGTGTTTTGGAAAAATGCAAAAACTTCGATATTTCCGTAAATGCTTGGTCCAAATTGTTGAAAGTTGGTATGTGAAGTAGATTTTTGACATAAAATTAGACAGTTATACAATTTTTGGAAAATGGGTGTGGCAGCGACTACTTATGATTAAATGCTGTATCTTAGTAGTCTCTTTACCAATCGCCACCACACTCAGTGCAAACATTGCTTAGAGTCTCACAAAGAAACCCGTGGAAATTTTTGAAATCAGGTAAGAACCGCCCACCTCCCATTACTACTAAAGCTTCTTCTTCTTCTTTATTGGCGCTGTAACCGCCAAAGCGATTTTAGCCGAGTCCAAAACAGCACGCCAGTTATTTCTCTTCTGTGCCAATTGACGCCATTAGGAAATGTCAAGTAAAGCCAAGTCCGTCTCCACCTGGTCTTTCCAACGCAGATGAGGCCTTCCTCTTCCTCTGTTACCAGCGTCGCAACCCGCGTTGAACACTTTCAGAGCTGGAGCGTTTCTGTCCTTTCGAAGGACATAACCTAGCCAGCGGAGCCGCTGGATTTTAATTCGCTACATAAGAGTTGATGCATGAACCATATCAGCTCCTCGCCGCCGTACTTGAATAGCTCGGCTGGCAGGCCGTCAGCTCCAGCAGCTTTGTTGTTTTTCAGCCACGTAATCGCTATTCGTACCACGTCATGGTCAGGCGGTGGGACATCGACTGGGGGCTCGCGTTCGTCTTCTCTACTCTCAGTTCTGCTGTCATTCACTAGGGTGGAAAAGTGTTCCCTCCATAATTTACGTACGTTCTGGACATCGGTCTCTAGGTCGCCATGGTTGTTCTAACAGGAGTTCGCCCTGGTCTTGAAACCTCCAGTAAGTCGCCTAACTCTCTGATAAAGTTGTTGGGCGTTTTTCCTGTCCGCCAGCATTTCAAGCTCTTCGCACTCACGTATTTCGGCCTCTTTCTTCTTATTGCGGCAAATACGTCTCGCTCCCTATAACGGTCCTACATGACTCGCGTTGTGCCCGATCGCAGCGTGGCCCTGTAGGCGGATTCTTTTTTCTCTGCAGCTTCTTGACACTCCTAATCATACCTTCTGCGGCGGTGCTACTTAATAAGCGGGGGATGTGATGCCACTGCCGGCGGAGAGTCGAGTGGCGAATAAATTGGCGGTATGTTATAATTGCAGCTTTTCGACGTTAAGCTTTCCTTGCATTGTTGGGCTCACATTTTTTGCTGCACAGAGGCGGGTGTGTATTTTGGCTGCAACAAGATAGTGGTCCGAGTCGATGTTTGGCCCTCGAAGTGTACGTACGTCTAAAACACTGGAAGCGTGCCTTCCGTCTATCACAACATGACCGATTTTGTTTCTCGTTTTTCGATCTGGAGTAGCTTGATGGATATTTTTATGCTGGAAGCTAGTACTACATCTTACCATGTTTCGGGCTCCGGCGAAGTCGATCAGCCTCAGTCCGTTATCGCACTTTTCATCGTGGAAGCTGAATTTTCCGACAGTTGCGCCAAAGATCCATTCCTTGCCAACCCTGGGCATTGCAATTACCAAGCACGATTTTTATATCGTGCCTGGTTCAGCGCTCATATATTCGCTCCAAGCACTCATAGAAGAGATCATTGGACGCCTCGTCTTTCGCTTCCGTCGGGGCATGGGCACAGCTAAGCGAGATGTTGAAGAATCTCGCCTTGATGCGAATTATGGCTAGACGTTCGTCCACTGGGGTGAACGCCAGTACTCGGCGACGGACCACAAATCCAACACCGGATATTACAGGTTCATACTCTCAAATCATAATCCTTTATATTTTTTCTTTGTAGACCTTGTTACGAACTTTTCCATACAAAGCAGGTTCGACAATTTTTTTTATATATGGAAAAAAATGCAGAGCACTGTCAACACAAAAAAAAAAAACAAAAAAACAATGAAATGATCAACGTTAAGTCTAGCTACTTAATAATTACACTTTATTATGCTCACATTTAGGGCCAATTTTCGTACTGAAAATCTGTAGTTAAGTAACTGCCAATTCAGAAATAACTACGCACTGTGAAACTGGACCTTAATGGCCTAGAAAACTGCATACCAACATATTTTCTAGAGATGCTGATTAAAAAGTTAGAAATTTGGAGGAATTTTCATACTTTTGCACAAAGTCTGAAATTTGGATTTATATGGTGTTTGTTAAGTAATCAGCTATACTATCATAAAAAATTAAATTTGGCTCACGGTGTGTATATAGAAATATATGTATATAGCACATATGTACATATATATACGTATGTAGATATGCACCAAAAAAACGCTAGCTTTTTAAGAAATATCTTACACAAAGGCAAAAAAAATGTTCATGCAGGATTGCAATCCCAGCTCTAGAAAGTCGACAAGTTCACTGGCTTATTGCCATCCTACAGTATTACATGCTGATTTAATTTTTGCCAAAGTAAAAATGAATAGAAAATAACGCAAACAGTTTGGCAGTCAAGCATTTTTTGTATATACTTACATCAGCGATTTTTATTGCATGGCCATCCTGTTCCCATTTGCTGGCGATTTGCAACGTTTCGGCTGTCTTCTGCTGTATTGTCTTTGAGTCATCCAGCAGTGTTAACTCATAGAATTCTTGAATATCTGCAAAATAAGAACATGAAAAAATGGTGTAACATTTATTACCATTGAAATTGTCCAATAATGTGCATATTAATAACAAACACATATTTATACGAACGTAATATAAAGACATACTTAAAATCTTGTTGAGAAACCTTGAAATAAATATGGTGCACAGCCTCCGACCATCGAAAAACAACATTCGCCTCCTTCGAAACTTTGGATCAGAATACAGTTTCGAAAATAAAAAGATGATGACCAAACTTAAAATCAGGAGATCCCAAATTCAATTTCGCAAACTCCTATTTGAGACTCTATTATCAGTTATCAAAAGAAGAACAAATCTTAGTTTAATTTGCTTATTTTAAAAGTTTTTAAAATTAACATGTTGCATTTCCGCAATGGGAAATAAGAAGTCTTATTATTTATTTGAATTGTTTCTTTCTTACACTTGCGCAAGTCATAATTGAGAGTTCACAAAATCTAACTATAGCATTAACATGCATATCTTACAGTTTC